AGAGGCTTATTTATTTACACGGCCAATCTCGAAGAATCTAGCGCTCATTTTGGATCGACGGGGGCTTATAACAGCATTGAATTAGTTCCGTGATCGAGTTTCCATTGTCGGTGGAAAAATGCGAACGCCATCTGTTTCGTGATCTTTCGGTTAATTGTAGATTATTGAAAATTTGATCGATGGTAAAAGTGTGCTCGGTGATTGAAGAATTTAACAAATTTTAATGGCACAATATGAATGTAAAAAGCACATGATTATAAAAGGCATAAAAATTTCATATCTATTCCGTGTTTTGCTAATTAATAATTATTTTTTGGATAGCTCTAAATTTAAACAATAGGAACGACGCTCGCACTGCCCTTTTGACGCCACCCTCTTCTTAAAATATCAACTACATTGAAACAATAGATAGTAAGATTCTTCGTGTCAATATAATTGGAATCCAAATACACGGGCATGTATAGCGTTTCAATAAGCCGCTGAACTTAACGAGAATGCGACCAGGGCGATTCGTTACGCGATCGTGCATTAGAGAGTCACTTGCTTTCAGCTTAATTACTTCATTAAGCGCTGTGATCATCCTCGAATGTCCGCCCTCTAATAATACGTCGCCCACGCGTAAAATTTTGTTCTATACGTAGAGGCCGGGACAGTAATTATTTATTCGTGTTTTGAGAGTCTAAGGTAGCCATCGTTTTCAGAAAATTCGACTGCAACCCCGGAATTATTAGCAACGAAGTGCTTTGTTATTTCGTTGGCAAAAAATTTTTTCTACTGATGTTCGATTGCCATAGGCAAATGCCGGTTATCGAGGCTGCGAGCGGCTCGCCCACACGATCAAATCGCATTTAAACATAGGGCTCATCCCGGCAATAACATGGAAAATTTCATCGCCATGTTTTTGTCGATGCTCCGCGGACTCAAATTAAGAAAGGAAAATAGAACGAAAAACCTCATTCCAGCATTCTACGAGCCAATGTCAATCTAGACACAGATAAAAAAGATAAAGAGAGCACGCTCTAGTCAAACATGTTAATCGGGAGTGGTGGCTGCTGCGTGAATCAACTCGTTGCTCAACGCAATTGTGTGCTCAAGCAAGCCAAACATAAATTCAAAAATCATCGTATTTATCATATTTCACAAGGGAGTTTACCGTACACACTCGCCGGCTTCGGTACATAGTGTGCCTCCGCCGTC